AAGGCTGAGGTGCTAACCGCACGGCTCAACTGGAGAAGCCATTTTAAAAGTGGATCTTGAGCAACAGACAAGAGGTCGGGACCCATACAGGCGAACGATGGCCACCCCGGTCTCACCCTCAGCCTGGCCCTTCAGAGCACGGGGAGAGCCGAGCGTGAACACGGGCTGGAGCCGCGGGGGGACGTGGGGCTCCCTCCGCGCCCAAGTCCCACGGGGCGGCTCCCCTACGACGGGCAGGCTGAGCAGCCGGCGAGCGTGCTGGTCTGCGGGTGGGCGGCAGCCAGCAAACTGCCCGAAGCAAGAAGCCACAGTCACCCTGCGCGCGTCCACACACGGGTGTGGGAGGGGACTCACGTTCTAGGGGAGACAGGACTTCTTGTTTTCTGAAAACCATTCGACTCAAACAGGACACAGATTAAGTGCTATCTCATTTTCCTGTGTTCGTTGGAAGAATTGAGGGGAGGCGGCAGGGGGCAAAAAAGACACCCCAGGCACGTACACAGCTTTATTCTGGAGGTGAAAAGGTCATTAGCAGTAATAAAAGGGTAATAAATTGCGGAGAGGTTAAAGGTGACTGGCTGGTTAGCGGTGAAGGCCCGCTGGCTGGTGTCACCCAGGCGCTGCAGGGCCCGAACCAGGGCTGCACTTGCAGGAAGTGGCAAGGGTGGGGCCGGGCGCAGGATCCCGCTATCTGTCGCCGGGGTGCGGAGGCCCAATCACTGACACCCACACAGCCATTTCCTGCCCTTAAAAAAAATCTGTTTCTCCCTTTGCAAATCAACAACTTTTACCTAGAAACTCTTTAGCGGTGAGTTCTGACTGATCTCGGTCTCTGATCCGTTGCAGAAAATACACCATTGTTTACCTGGGGGAGGTGTGCGAGTGCCAGCTTTAACTGACAGGTTTCGGAGGCTGTGAGTGGGGTCTGTTTTGCATCTGCCTGAAAGAAACCAATTCTCTCTACCCCAAACAGGCACCTGCTGGTGACCGAATACCTTGACAGACCTTTCTAGAAAAGAGCTCTGAGCACAGAGGACGCAGTGCGGACACTGAAGCTCAGGGTGTGCCCCCAGATGGGGGTTCTTGACGGTCCCTGAGGGTACGCTTTCCGGCTCGGGTCAAGAGAGAACTCCATGTTTAGCACTAAAAACAGACGGCCAGCCGTGGGCTGCTCTAGTCAAACACGCACGACGCCAGAACTCATTCAACAGGGAACCTCGCTGAGGCTCCCGGGGGAAGGGTCCCCCGCCGTGACCGCACGTGCTGACGCTTACACACGGGAGTTTATCGCATGTCAAGTAAACCTCAGTCACGTTTTCAAAAACAAACAAAAACAGCTCCCACAGAATGTGAAAACTGCAAGCTGTAGCGTACCAGAGGTGGTACCTAAAAACCATGCATGACTCAGACCCAAACGTGCATTTGGTCCCGGACAAGCGACCACAGCTGAGCTTCACCAGCGAGGGCCCTGGAGCTCTCTTTGAAGTTCAACTACCCATCTCTGACTTTTTCAACTGCAAAGATTTATGCCAAACTGCAACCTCGTGGGGAAAAGGGTCCGTTGGTGACTCCCTTGCATGCATATGGCTGCCTCAGACCCAGCCTCTGTCTGCCCCTGGGAAAGAAGCTTGTGGAAGGAGGACCCGTGTCCTGGTCCCGGTACCCTGGGGACGGGATGCAGACACATGTCACACACATCACACCACGAGTAATCACTGTGCGAGGCACCTTGCCCACACGCCCACCTGCTAAGCCAGAGTTGGTCCCATGTTCAGTCAGGGAAACCGAGCTTGATGAGGTTGAGACACTTGCCTAGAGCCCTTCAAGGAGATGGTGACAGAGCCAGAACATAAACCCAGGCCCTGGCTCCAACGTCCAGAAACGTGGACTAAGCCTTCCTGGATTCTAGTGGCCTCACATATCAGAGCCACCTCCAGGCGCAGAGACCTGGCAGGGTTCTAGAGACTACGGGAAAAAAAACCTGTTACCACCAGGCAGTCTGGACCATCCACGTGGGATCTCTATGGGATCACAGCTCCATCACCAGAGTTGTGGGGGGCCCCCGGCAGCAGGGTACCCACTTTGCCTTGTCCCCACTCAGCCACGCTGTGGCCGCAGCTCCCTCTGCATGCCGGGCAGGCCCTTGAGTTTGATCACGTGGCAATCCCCAGGTGGTGACGGCCACCACGGCAGGCTGGCACGGGGCCTCTCCACGCGGGAAAAGGCCAGGTTAAGTGAGAAGAGCAGAGAAGCACAATCTATTCCCTCACTTTCAAACTGTTAGATTTTGTTTTCTTAAAAAACAAGAACAACAGAACAACACAACTTGGACATCCATGCCTGGCTGCTTCCTACCTTAAGCAGCCAAGAGAACAAGAGTTGTGCCTTGTGTTTTCATAAAGACCGCCTTGAGCAGGACTTCCTCCAGCGCTCATCTGCTGACCCTTCCTGCTAATAACCAGCTAACTCCCGGGCTGCTCTGGGGCCCAAGGAGTCTCGCTCTGTGCAGCGTGGACACGGAGGGGGAGGGCAGTGTGCGCAGCTGGGCCTTGATTCCCTCCATCAGAGCGGCAGTGTGGGGCAGAACAGTCCTCTGCATCCCCCAAAGAACTGAACACTTCCCCCCAGATGCAACCCATTAAAAGGTCAACTGCTGGGTCAGACATCACGCGTGAGGTACATCTGCATAGCCAGCGTTTCCACGTTGTTAGAGGTTAGTACGAAATCACAGCAGAGCCACCACCGGAAGCTGCTCAAACGGTAATAGCCACACGGTCTGTACCTACCACCCAGCAGTGTGTACAGCGCAGAGTTTTTCTGATCAGCCATTGCTTCTAGGTAAGAGAATCAGACGAGAGACATTTAGACCTCAACGCAGGTGTGTCGTGGCCGCTTACAGATGACACGCTGCACATGCACCCACCGTCCTCCAGAACCTGTGAGAACTCTGAACCTCATGGTTTGATTCTCATTACAGCTGTAGATGGGTGTGGAGAGGTCCAGCGCTGGCCCTGCTGCCTCTGCTGTGTGACAGTGGGTGGCCCACCCGACCTTTCTCACTTCCCTTTCCTCTTCTGAAAAGAGAGCATGGCTGTCCTCTTGTGGCTCTTACTAGGACCTGGCTAGGTAATCCTACGGGTCCATGGATGTGACGAGGAGAGTTGAGGCACCTGGCACCTCAGTGGCCATGGCAGAGTAAGGGTGCAGTGGCCCAAAGCCAAGAGCAAAAGCTGCCTGAGACTGCCCAGGGTACAGGCCCAAGCCTCCCCAAATGGGGATGGCTTCTCTGCTTTGTAAGTCTGTGATACGCTGAAAGCAGCAGCCGAGATGGGGCAGGGAGGCTTGCAGAGGGCAATACAAGGGAGAGGGGACAGCGAAGGGTAAGTTCAGAAGCGGACCCAGCACTGGTTCAAGGAAGGGGAAGAGGCTAAAATAAGAGTTTCCAAGAAACCCTGAGCATGACATTCTGCACCTGCTAGCCGGAGTTGGAGTACCTCCTTGAAGCCTGACGATTACTGCATCACTCCGTCTGTGTGCGTGTGTGTGTGTGTACCTTCACACGGGAACGTGTGGACACGTGCAGTGTGCACAGGTGCATGCAAGCGCTATGAGCACGTGTACCTGCGAGGGAGCATGGAAAGGTGTGCACATGTGCATACCCGCGTCTGCATGGGTGGGCAGTGCATGAGCACGTGTGCTCACACCTATGCACATTAGCATGAGCCCACACCACGTGTGTACGTGTGTATGCAGGCGCGTGCGTGCATGCTTTGGCCCCCATCTTTCAGGCGGAGTGTGGAGGCCCGATGACCTTCCATTAGGAGACTGCCCGGGGTGTCCCCTTAGAGCCGCCAAAGTGGGCACTGAGGACAGGGCTTCCATCCTCCTGAAAGAAAGCCCCGGCTGGCCCAGGCGACAGGACAGGGCAGGCAGCCTCTCTACTAAGAGGAGGACTTCGACAGGTGGACCTCGTGTAGGATGACCGCAGGGCCTACGACCCATGACCACCTGTAACTAGAGAGTTCCACGGGCCACCAAGTGGAGCCCCAGGCCGACTGAAGGGCAGAAGCTAGCTCAGGCGGGACCAAGGTTTCAAGAGAGCATGTGGGTCTCCTGTGGCCACCCCTAGTCTTGAAACAGCACAGGTGAGACTGTCTGGAGCCAGGGCACCAAGAAAACAGTGAGCAGGGGTAGATAAAGGGGCCGGGAAATTGTGGTGAATCCCGTTGCCACTTAAAGCAACAGCTTTCTCCTTTTGAGTCTGGCAACCCGGCCTGTCGGCCTATGGCCATCATAGAAGAGAGAGCCCCCGCACAAGCTCAAAGTCCTCAGCATCCTCAGGGGGACACCTGGGCCCTCTCCTGAGAGTAGGGCCCCAGGGCCAAGATCAAGAGAGATTGGTAGCACCAGCCAGAGCCAGGAGAGGTGAGGTCCGCAGGAAGCCCCTTGCTTGGAGCTGTCCGGAGAGATAGCCGGCAGGAGCCAAGCAGAAGGGAGCCCAGAGCCATCTGCCTCCTCTTGCATCAAACACGGCCAAAGAAGACCCCCACTCCCAACCCCACTCTGAGTCCTTAACCAGTAGGGAGGCGCCAGATTGAGGGGGTGGCCTCAGCCAACTTGGGAAAGAGCTCGGGTTGGGGGGAGGCCAGAAGGGCCACAGCATCCTGATTACACACCCCGCCAAGGGCCATGCGGCAGCTCTCACCACCACAAGGGCTGAGCCCTGGGCCTTCTGGAGAGCACCCTGGGGGCCCACACTAAGCCTGGAGCCAAGGGGCCCCAAGGATGGGGTGAGGGTGGGTGGGAAGGGAGGCGTGCCCCAGGCACACACCATGTGAGGACCCAGGTCACTAAGCAGTAGGGAGACCCTCTTGCTCCAAGTGCGGGCCCCCCGGCATCTGCTCCACTCTGGGCTGGTGAACAGAGAAGCCCTCGGTCCCCCTCCCCCCGCCGTCCTTTGACGGTGGGCGGGCGGCTGCGAGAGAAGAAAGCGTACTGACCGCTGGGCGGTTTAGGCCGTGGAGGAGCAGGTTTCTTCGGAGGCAGAGCGGGAGTGTCCTGTTTACTTTTAAAGGGGTCATCTGAGAATCCTGCCCCTCCAAAGGAGGAGGTGAAAGGACCAGAAGTTGGGGGCTGTAAAAGAGGACACGAAAGAGAGGCAAAAATAATCGTTAAAATGGAGGCAACGGATGTCCATTCAGCCAATGCTCAAGTACCGAGAGCCTCAGTGAGGCCCCCAACCCTCTGGGTTCCGCGGCACGGCCCCCACGGGGACCCGGGTCTCTCACGAGACTCCTGCTTTCCTCCACCCTCAACAGCCAGGGTCCTCTGGCCTGTGAGGGGCAGGCCAGCAAACACAGAGCAGGCGAGAGCCGCCCTGTGCCTCGACAGGCTTATGTCACGCGAGGGGTGTCCCCTGCCACACACGCCGTTCTACCCAGGCAAGGATATCAAGTCTTTCCTGACCCCAGGGCCCCCCGGGCCTCCTTGCGTCAGAGATGGGCCCCACCCTCACCCTCATGCTGTCTGCAGACCCCTCTGTGTGCCACCCCTGGGCTGAGCACCGGGCTGAGCACCGGCCTGCATGGCTACTGCCTCCGGGCAGTGACAGGCAGTTCTCGGCACTGGGTCAGAACGGCCGCAGACCACCTCCTCACCCCCACGTGGCCCATGGGTGCTGCTGCCTACACAGTGACTCAGGCTGGAGCCCACCCCCACTCCTGCTGGCACAGCCTTGGCCGCCTCCGTCAGGCTCCTCCAGCCCGGACCTTCCACCCCTGCTCCCACCCGACCCCATCTCAAGTGCAAATGGGACCATGTAATCCCAGCAAGAGAGACGCACAGGTGGGTGTGTGGGTAGAGGACAGGTTGGTACATAGCACTCAACGGCCCCAGTGCCCAAAGCTAACCTCTGGAGCACTCTTCAAGGCACACAGGGCCTTCATTACAGCCCCCCCACTATCCAATTCTTCCACCTCGTCTCTGCAGCTGGCCCCACCCCCTTGACAATTCCCCAGTCCCTGGAACCCCTTGCAGCCCGGTCTCCAGGGCACAGGGTCTCCAGCTGGGGAGCTCAGTCCACCCCATCGACCCCAAGCCCTTCTTTTCCTCAGAGACTAGCCAAACCAGATTTCACTGCCGCCCCTAGATCTCTCTCTGACACCCCTTCCTACCAACTGTGCCCGCTTGACATCGGTGGGACTCCATAGGACACACGTCACCATGGGTAAGCATGTGCCCCGCACCTGGCCGTTGTCTGCTGCGAGTGGGTGCAGGTGATGGGGGCAGCACGTCTCCTGGCTGGGCCTGTGGCGGGCTGTGACTGTCTCCGTGGGCGTCCCCTACCCTGAATGCCAGCACAGTGCTGGGCACAACAAGCCCCCACTGGCAGACAGACGAGCCACAGATGGGCCAGCTCAGGTCCCCCCTCCTCTGGGATCTGGTCACAGGGACATGGACGTGGCAACCTCTGCCTCGGGTATAGCCATGGACACCAGTCTCAGGTAGGGAAGAGGTGGCCAGCCCACAGTGAGAGGGAGGGGGCCTGGAGAGGCTGCTGGGCATCCCACTGGGCACCCTGGTTCCCCTCTGCCAGCTCCCAGGACCTCTAGGGTAGGATGCTGGCTCTGTGCTGATGACCTCACCTCACTCCCCAACAACCCCTTCCATTTTACACACAGGGAAACTGAGACACAGAGAGCGGATGCAGCCTGCAGTCATACGGCACCTCCGTGGTGGAGTCGGGGTAGGAGCCCACATTGTCTGCCTCCAGGGCCAGGGCTCCTGGGCCCTGCCCTCCGCGGCTGGCAGCCCACCCCTCGAAGTAGGTCTGGGGCCGTGTTCCAGGCAGAGCAGGCCAAGGGGTCAGCGGGCCAGAGAAAGCCCCGAGGACGACGGGGGTCAAATGAGCAAGACTCATTTCCCTACCAAGCCCATGCTGGCCCGCCAGGAAGCTCTGAGCAAGAGGGGCAGCTAGGGCTGGTGGGACTGTGGGAGGGCAAGGAGGCGCCCGCCTCCACAGCTGCTGCTCCCCTCTTCGGGGCTCTGTGGACACTTGTCCTTTTAGGTACAAGATTCAGGGAGTCTCTGAAAATCCCGCAGCTCCAGTTTCTGGAATCTCTGCCCGGCCAGGCTACAGAGCACAGGGGTCAGGGTTAGGGTGTGGAGTCCCAGCCCCGCCACTACAAACCGCTCCATGCCTCCGCTTCCTCATCTGTGACAGGACCGTGAGCACCGCACACCGCAGCCCTAGGGCTGCCGCAGCGTGAACCGCAACTGCGATCAAGTCTGTGTGTAAATTGCTCCAACAGGCACCCCCACAACATGGCGCAAAGATGGTACAATTATTATCATGCCAAGGATGTGGACATGACCGGAACTCCTTTAGATGCCTGTGAAAATCTGCAGACGCCCCGTCAGCTCCCAATCTTTCATTCCTGCTGCTGGCTGTTAGCCACAGATTACCCCAGAGGGAGACCGCATGGGAGCAGAGGCAAAGTGCTGAGCCACAGCTTAGCTTTAAAATGGTGGCTGAGGGTCTGCGGTTTGGGGAAGAAGAACGGGGGCGGGGGAGTGGGCAAAGGAGCTGGGAGGGCACATGGGTTCTGCTTCTGCCTCTGCCATTCACGGACCATAACATGGGCTCACGCAATTCCCGCACAACCTGAGACGAGCAGGCAAGGAATCAAAACCAATTTCTTAGTCGAGAGGAGGCGTGACCAGCCCAAAGGCCACCCGCCCCAAGGACCCCAGTCTTTGTCTCGGGGGTTGGGAATGCACCAGCTCAGGGGAAGGGGTGCAGAGTGGCGCCTGGAGCCCTCTGGACACACCCCACTGAGCGTCCACCTATCCCACGTGCTGCGGCCCGGACCACGAGCCGTAAGGACTGTCGGCAGCCAGGCTGACTCTCCGCCCCCCTCTTGTGTTCAAAGCCACTGAGCCGGTGGGCTCCCTCCAGTGTGACGGGGCTCCAACCATAAAGGCCACTCCCCCTGCGATCATGAGCTGTAGCCCTTCTAACACTGCCAAGCCCACGTCATTTCCGAATCCCACTTTTCATGACTCCAGGTTTCCCAAGAGGCCTCCTCTGGGACCCGACTCGTTCCTCCTCAGGCTGCAGCTTCAGGGAAAGTGGCTATTTTTAGAAGGGTTTCAGTAAAGCCGGCAGGGGCTCTCTGGGCTGGCACAGCATGAAGTGTGCTCAGAAAGAAAAAAAAGAGAAAAGCCACTATAAAAAGCAGCTCTAAGAGGAACACATTTGGGGTTCACAGTTTAAAGAGCTGGTTTAAAGCAAATGACTCTCAACTTTTAAGAAACAACCCTAAATGGGAATGCATAGCTTTAAACACCACTGGAGAAACGACTGGAAAGGCCCTGACAACCAGCCAAGGACTGCCGGGATAGCTTTTTTTTTCATGGGGCAGGGGTGAAATAATTATGTTTGAGTCTTGTTTTTATTCTCAAATGCTCAGAATTTGTTCTTAAAGCAAGGTGAAGGGTTGACAGGGTCTAAAAAAAATATCTGCAGGTATGGGGGGACCTCCACTTCGAGTGCAAGCCTGAAGAATCTTCTGAAGGAATCTGCTGGAACCAGCTCGCTGGCTGTCAACTTCACTCAGCACCGCCAGGCAGAGGAGGACACCTCAATTTAGGGTGGAGTTAAGAAAGGGCACCAGTGTGCATCACCTTGCCACCCCACTCAGATAGGGAAAAGCTGGCGATGTAAAAAACACACACACAAAAAAACATAAAACCAAGAAGCCAAAAAAAAAAAAAAGCCTTCTTGCCACTTCACTTTCATTTCCTTCAGCATTTTATTTATACACACGATGTTTTTCTTGAAAAACAGAAAGGGAACCAAAGGGAAAAACAGAGACCTACAAGGTTAGGGCTCGGTGTTCCGCTGGACAAGTGGCACGACATCAGGCGCTGACAGGAGCGTGGAAACCAAACAAAGCAGCGCCGGAGACAAATTTTCCACGGCCCCGTCCAGCCCCATCCCGCCTGGGGCCATGAACAGGAAGGGGCCACCGGCTCTGAAGTCACAAGCGCACGTGTGTGTGCAGCCTGATCGAGGGACACGCGGACAAGGAGAGGGAAGCCGGATCAGAGGGAAAACGCCATGTTCGGTTAGGACGGGCAGGACGACAGGCAGGGCCAGGCTCTGAACTGCCTGGCTCCGGGGAGTCTGTGCAGCCCCAGGACACGCAGAGACGGCCTGGAAGGGAGAGGGGCGGCCATTCCGCTGTCCAGAGCCCCTCCAGACTGGCCGCCCTGAGCAGCCCTCCACCAGCCCAGGCAGCCTCTACCAGCGTACCTCTCAACCTGGTCTCAGCCTCAGCCCCTGGGAGCTCTCCCCCACTCTCCCCTGCTCGGCCGCTGGGGCCAGCCTCCCCAAGGGAGAGGGGCGGGGGGAGTGGGCCCCGGTCTCCCGGCTCGAGAGCACAATGCAGACCCCTTCCTTTGGGGACTGCTGCCACCGTGTGGCACAAGTTCTCTGATTTCAGGAGTTGATTTCCTGCCTGCTAAGCAGGGACGGAAGCGGAGGATGCACAGCTCCATTCTCGAGGAGCAGGGGCATGTGTGACAGCCACCAAGCGACAGGCAAACGTTCGAGCAGACCTCCTGCCCTGGCGCCTTCTGGCCAAGCCCAGACAGCGTCCCGGCCGACAGTGCAGTGTCACGGAGTTTCCATACGGGGGAGGGAGGCTCATTCCCTCCAGGCACCGGAACGAGAGAGGCGGCTACACCAGCACCTCTGGGCTCCCTCCCGCGACAGCTGACCGGCAAACATTCTCCCTCTGGCCAGAAGCTGGATTTGCTACCTTGACAATGTACGCTCACGTGCTTCTTTGAAAACCTAAACAGAATCTCAAGAGCTGTGAGCGCCACAATCACACACGGGTTCACCACAAGTGCTCAGACAAGTGTGTGCCCATCAGGCTGAGCATGGAACCAGCAGGCAGGATGCCCCAAGGAGCTGGCACGGCAGGGGTGCCCAGCGGGGGCTGGCGGGGTCAGAAAGCGACTCCTTGTTGCGGAGGCTCGGCTCCCACATGCTCCAGAGACTCCCTCCCCAGCTCCCTCTCCACCATCTGGTTTCTGAGCCTCCCCAACAAGGAGGTGAGATCAGGTATGGAGGCTGTTTCCTGCCTGTGGCCACCCCCGCCTCATGCCGATGGTACCTGGGCTGGAGCAGGTGGATACTGCAGATCAGTGGAATGAGTAAAGAAAGCATGACTCTGGCCACAGGCTGTGCCCCACAAGACCCTCACCTGCCTGAGGGGCGGCCAAGAAGCAGCGGAGCACAAGGAGATCCTGGAGACGGGGCCCGGAGGCCAACATGGGGCACACCTAACATTGCTTTCCTTTAATACTTATCGAAGAAATCCGTAATCATGCTCAAAAGCAGGGGACGCTAAAGATTATACCAAAGACCAGCAACCCTCACATCACTGCCTCTCCCACTCACCCTGGCCGACGTCTTTGACTTCTTAGCAGTTTCTTCTGGAAATTACCTCTGTAATCATGGGCTTCTACTGTTATTTCTTGACCTGTCCATTTTGGACACGTTCTACTGACCGACTTCCTGCTACGTTAAAGACTTAGCTTTCCAGCCACACCTCCTCCAACCCCTCCTCGCAACAGGGCCCCAACACCACCTGGGACTATATTCACCTAACTCTGGCCACACCGATACTGCCCAGCCCGACAACTGCAGGGATGTCATCTGTCTTGAACAGCTCCCTTTCCCCCGTACATCTGTTCACGGAACCTAGCCCTCGCTTTCCAAACCTTTCTCGGGTTGTGTCGGGCAGCTCCCACTTACATAACCGGCCCACTTTCTCTGGATGCCTCCCGGCTGCCAGCCTGGGGCCAACGGTTTCAGCCTCAGCTGCCTGCACATGAGGCCTGCCCCCACTGTGACCCTCCTGAGCCCTCTGTGCCTAACACCTTCTCTGAGCCCATGCAGCCACAGCTCCACTGCCTGAGATCTGGCAGCTAACAAACACCAGGAGGACCAGGGGAACGACACTTATGCCTCGTGGAGGGATGCAGGGCCCTGGCAGTTCCACTCCGAGGAAGGGAAATGGAGCTGATCACAAGCACAGGCATCTTCTAGACCTTGCCTGCCGGCTCACAATCTCACATGAGGACATGTTTCAGCATCTGACAGGTGCCGGGAGATACATACGTGGTGCTAATAATTACGCTTGGCCGCTCACGACACAACCGCAAGAGGCACAAAGACACTGGCAGAGGCGCGCGTGCTCCGTGGGAGGGGGTTTACCTTGGACATCTGGCTGAAGTCGGCAAAGCCCTCAGCACTATTGAAGGACCCACTTCCGAAGGGGTCTAAGGTTCCAAAGGGACCTGCAAGTAGCACCAACAGAGGCAGAGTTACAGGGCATTCAAGGGACACACCTCCGGGGGCAGAGGGAGGTACTGCCTCTCAGTGGTCAACAGCCCCTGGCGCGCGACATCCGAGGAGGTAGCATTTGCTTTGCCAGGGCTGTGCGTCTGGATGCAGTCCCTCAATGCAGCCTCCCTGCCCCCAACCCGCCTTGGCTGGTGGTTGGTGCGGCTCGGCCAGAAGCCTCTCGCCGTGATGGCCGCCTCGGGCAGGGCCACAGGACAGTGCCCCGTATCAGTACTTCTAACCAGCGCTATTCACGGTCAGCAAAGGAGTGACAAGTGCAGAAGCACAGCCAACTGCCCTCCTGGGTCAAGGAGGGAGGTGCAGGTCTGCAGCAACCCACCACCCACACCTTGTATGTGGGGAGGTTGTCTGCGGGTGCAGTTTTCTCCTTTGGTGGGGCAACTTGCCTGCATAACCCATACACCCACCTATGAACCCAAACTCTATTGCCAACAAGCACGAGCTGCTAGGCAAGGCCGCAGAAGCAAGTGGGGTCTGATCCCAAAAGCAAGGGGGAATCCAAACTCTCCCCCCTCCCTTAATGCACAAGACAGGACCCTCAGTCAAACTTGGATTCTTTTAGGAAAAAGATCTGAAGGTACAAATCAAAGATTTGTACAGAGAAATGAGTAAAGAGTAACCAGGAACACTGGTGTTATTACTGACTGAATTCCCACTGCCAATCTTCCTTTGTGGAAAGATGAGCAGCTAGGGGGAGCTGGCTTTGGCCCAGGTACCTCAGGTGAGGATCTGGGTGCCACTGATTAATGACATAAACTCTGAGGACACACAGCTTTGGAAATGGAAGCAGGAACTGGGTGGGCTCCTTCCACTGGCTGGGGGGAGAGTCAGAAGGAAAATAAGTCATCAGTCTCACCTGATCCTTTTGAGGAGACACTGGAGGATGAAAAAGGATCACTGGATTCAAAGGGGTCGAGCTGAGTGAAAGGAGAGAGGGAAGAGTAAAAAGCAGTTCATTCGTTCACCCAACCATTCGTCCAAGCACAGACTTTCCTGCCATCTGCGTACACTGAATCCGGTGCCGGCCATAAGGAGGAGAAAATGATTCAAACTAAACCCTGGTGGAGTAAAATCCCAACAGACCAACCCCTCCTGCAGAGCATACCTATAAACTCTGGACAAAATGCAAAAAAATAAGTAAACATAAGCAACCACCTGGAGGCTCAGGAAGTGAGCCAGAGCAGGAAGACTAGACGAGAATTCCAAGTTGGCAGGGGCCAGCAGCACAAAGTTGAGTCTTCTATCTAGACAGCTATAACCTGAGGGTTTCGGGAGGCTAGACCCCAACAGAAAACTCACTGTCTTTCTGGCCTGAAGACCAGAGGATGGTAGTCTGGGACAACCACAGTCATGAGAAAGGGACAAGGGCCCCAGAAAGGAGAGGCAGAGAACAGGAGTCCAAAATTTCATGATAAGCTCTGCCCAAGACAAGGGCTGACCCCAGCACTGTGTGCAGGAGGGCAGACTGAATGCAGCCTACAGCTAAGGTCACAAGTACGCAACTACAGGTGAGAGAAAGGGAGTTTGCAGTGGAGCCTCACCGAGTCAATTGCCTGCTGAAACAAAGCCATCTGGGCTCTTTGGAGGCATATACCAGTATCCAGTTACCGCAACAGAGCACTCACAATACACAGGATACATTTTGAAATTATTCAGCATAAGAAGAATCAGAAAAACTGTGGCCAGTTCTCAAGGGAAAAGACAATCAACAGAACCAATCCCAAGAGGACCCAGATGTTTTGGAATTCTTTGATGAGGATGACTTTAAAGCAGGAATAACTGTTCAATGAAGTAAAGGAAAACAGACTAAAGAGGAATGGATAGGAGATCTTAGCAGAAAAATAGAAACTATACAAAGAAACAAATGGAAATTCGAAAACTGAAAAAAGTACAATATCTAGAATAAAAACTTCACTAGGTCAGCTAAATGAGAGATGGTCAAGAAAAAAGTAAGTGAGGTTGAAGACAGATCAGTGGAAAGTACCCAATCTACAGAAAAAAGAGAAAAAAAAGAATGAAGAGAAAACAGAGTCTCAGGGACTTGTGGAGCCGTTAGTAAAACCTCTAATGTAAGAGTAATCGTAATCCCACAAAGAAAGGAGAGAATAAGGTAGAAAAAGAAAATGTCTTAAGGGAGTAATGGCCAAAAACTTGCCAAGTTTGGTAAAAGACCTGATTTACAGATTTAAGAACCTCGGCAAACCCCAAACAACTTAAATACAAAGAAAACCACACACACATATGCTTCACAGTCAAAACTACTGAAAAACAGAGCTAAAGAGCTAAGGCAGCCAGAGAAAAACAGCATGGTACCTACGGTGGGGGACAACTGCCTGAGAGACTCAGGACTTCTCCTCAAGGACAGGGAGGCCAGAAGGCAGTGGAATAACATCCAAAAGTGCCGGAAGGAAAAAAAAATACTAGATCGGGCACAAATACCCTTCAAGAATGACAACAAAGGGACGCCTGGGTGGCTCAGTTGGTTAATTAAGCATCTGCCTTTGGCTCAGGTCATGATCCTGGGGTCCTGGGATCGAATCCTGCATGGGGCTCCCTGCTCAGCGGGGAAACTGCTTCTCCCTCTGCCTGCCACTCCTGCTGCTTGTGCTCTCTCCCTCTGACAAATAAATAAATAAATAAAATATTTAAAAAAAAGGGAATGACAACAAAGTAGACGTGTATTATAAGAAATGCCAAAGAAAGTTCTTCAGGCTTAATGAAAAGGATCTTGAGGGTAAATAAGATCTTGAGAAAGGAATGAGGGCATCAGAAATGGCAAATATATGGGTAAAAACAAAGAGACCGCCTTTTTCCCTTTTAACATTTCTTTTAGGGGTGCCTGGGTGGCTCACTCGGTTAAGCGTCTGCCTTGGGCTCAGGTCATGATCCCAGGGTCCTGGGATCGGGCCCCACGTCAGGCTCCATGCTCAGTGGGGAGCCTGCTTCTCCCTCTCCCTCTACTTTTCCCCCTGCTTGTGTTCCCTCTCCTGCTGTGTCTCTGTCAAATAAATAAATAAATCTTTAAAAAATACATATCTTTTAGACACATATAATGGATTAAAGCAAGATGGTCTTAGGGAGTTTATGGCATATTTAGATATATTCATATGACAGCTAGAACATAAGAGAAGACACTGCTGGCTGGGAAGGAGATGGACAAATGGACCCATATGGTTGCAAGTTCTCTACATTTTACATGAGTGATATAATATTAACTCCGAGTAGCATATGAAAAGTTAAGGGTGTATACGGTAATCCCTAAAGCAACCTCCAAAAATAATAGAAATAGGTATAGTTAAAAGAAGCCAACAAATACTAGAAAATGGAATTCTAGAAAACATTCAAATAATCTAAAAGGCAGCAGAGAGGGAACAGAGGAACAAAACACAGGGGATAAAAAGCAAGGAAATAATAAAATGGTAGATTTAAATCTAACCATATCAACAAGTGAATTAAATGTTAATGGACTAGACACTCTATTTTGAAGGCCAAGATTTCCAGGCCGGAGAGAAAAGCAGTCCCAACTATATGCTCACTATAAAAAACCCTTTGTGTATAAAGATCCAGGTAGACTGAAAGTAAATGGATGAAAAAAGATATAGCGGGCAAAGAGTAAGCGTAAGAAGGATGGAGGAAGGCTATTTCAATATGTGATAAAACAGATCTCAAGACAAAGATATCGCCAGAGGAAAAAAAGGAAGCTTTTATAATGATAAAAAGGTCACTGCATCAGGCTGATACAAGCAGCACAAATGTGTAGGCACCGGAGAGAGCTTCAAAACACATGAAGCAAAACTTGACGGAATTAACAGGGACATAGACAATTCCACAATCACAGACTTTAACATTCCTCTCTCAGCGATGGGTACAGTGGTAGAGCTACAAAACAAGCAAACAAAAACAGGACACAAACGATCGGAACTATCAGCCACACTGACATAACTGGCATTGATAGAACATGACACCCGGCAACTGTAGATCAACAATTCTCATCAATGGTATGTGGTATGGACACCAACATGAACCATAATATGGGTATCAATCAATTTAAAAGGACTGCAAACACACAAAATATGTTCTCTAATAATAGATTTAATTAAAAATCAGTATTACAAGGTATGTAAAGGAAGGAAAGAATATCTGGAAACAAAACAGTACTTTAAATAATCCATGCTTCAACAGAGAAATCACAAGGGAAACTAGAAAATATCTCAAACTAAAGGATAATGAAGATATGATATATGAAAATGTGTGGAATGCAGCTAAGTAGTGCTTAGGGTGAAATGTGTAGTTTTAAAATATTTATATTAGAAAAGATGGTCTAAAGTCAGTGACATCTTAAGATGTTAGAAATGGAAAAGCGAGTACTAACCCAAAATAAATAGGAGGAAGAAAATAATAAGCAGCAGAAATCAGTGAAATAGAAGCAAACAGGAGAGGAAATTAACAGAACCAAAAGCTAGTTCATGGACAAGCTCATCAGAGAGTAGGAACACAGATCACACACATAGACCAGTAGCAGAAACGAAAGGCCAGGCGTATCCCGTGACACGTCTATCAACAGAAATGTTACAAATTAATCCTTGCCTTCAAGGAGCTCTGGGTCTAGTGCGACAGACCAAGAGGTCCGTGGAGAAGAGGAAAACCAGGGAATCTGAGGGGTGGAGGGAGAGATGCAGCCTGGAACATGAAGGAAGGCTACACTGCCCTCACTAGACACGAGGATTCTCTGTTCAATCACAGAGTCACTTTTTTGTGCAGTGCAATGGGCCTAACACCATGCAACACACACGGTTTGCTAGATGCTGGGGATGGAGAGGGGCACGTGAATGCCTCACATGCTTTCAGTGCTGCCAGGAAGATGGCAGGGCGGCCGTGTGGAGCATGTGATGCCTTCTTTCATTTCAGTTTTATTGGGAGACGGGGCAGCAGTGGGAGCCGGAGATAGAACCCAGTGGGCCTGAGCTGAAGTGACAGGGGCACAGAAAGGAACAGAGAAAAGAGAGCTATTTGGGACCCAAGCCATCCTGACATGGGCTCATTAGCCCACTGAATGTGACAGCCTGAGTCATGGGACGAGCCTCACAGGGACAAGCACCAGGCACACGCAGTTAGCACCTATGTCTCCCCGGTGTCACTCACCTTTGAGGGTAAGGAAGGGTTTTTCGTGAATGGGTCTGAGGTAAACGGGTCATTCTTTGTCTGTTTCTTAAAGAAGTCGTCAGGCGCAGAGCCACGGAATGGGTCGCTTTCTTTGAAAGGATCCCCTCCGAATGGATCTAGAGGGTGTTTTGGAAAGTGAATAAAAACATGCCCCTATGAATAAACAACATTATGCTTCATGGAAGAACCCAAATGTACAAGAACACATAGCTGACTGACGCCATTTTATATGAAATTCTACAAAAGGGAAAAACCATAATGACAATAAGCAGGTCAGTGGTTGCCAGGAGCCTGGAGGTTGGGGGTGGGAGGCACAAGGGAACCTTCTGGGACAATGGAGGTGTTCTCGATCTCACACAACTGCACACATTTACCAAAACTTATCTAATTATACACTTAAAATTGGTGAATTTTGTTGTGTGTAAATTACACGTCCCAACAAAGCTGATTTTCATAATAAAAACATGGATAAATCCAGAGACAGAAAGCAGACTGGTGGTTGCCAGGGGCTGGGGGAGGGGGAAAGGGGCATGACCACTCATGGGGATGAGACTTCCGTTTAGGGGCTAGCAATGTTCTAGAACTACACAGAGGTGGTGGCTGTACATTATGAATGTACCAAATGTTACTGAATTGTCACTTTAAAATGGTGAATTTTGTGTTGTATGAATTTCACCTCAGTAAAAAAATAAAGAAGTAGATAAACAGGCAGCATGATCGCACCACCATACCCACGGTGTGCTCATTCCCCTGGAATGCGGGGTGCCGGCATGGTGAACAGACATGTTGCAACGCCACCGTCACCAGCAGGGAATGAGACACTAGGCTTTCGTGCAGTGCAGATGGCCGTGCTTCCCAGTACTGCCGCCACCTCTGCCATGTGTAGACTGAAGCCCCGCTGTGGGCAGGCGCTACACGGGGCCCCGATGCTACCACAGGACCAGGCTGCCGTGGGCAGGTCTGAAAAATCGCCTGGCCACTGGGAGCTCCTTTTCTAGCCCTGCTTCTCTTCACACTGTGAGGTCGGCAAGAAGGGGCACCCAACAGTGAAGGGGAGGGTAATGTCGCTGCCAGGCTTCCCCAGAAACTAAGCTCCCCTGTTGCCCTGTCGCAGGAGGCCTGGCAGACAGGCTGCTTTTCCATTTCCTTCAACTTGGAACTAGGAATGGAAAGAGTCTGAGGACAAGTCCACGAAAAAACAAAGTCTTTTCAACAAAGGCTTTTACCTGCTGAAGCTGTCTGTTGTTCTGCGAAGGGGTCATTCTGGAATGGGTCACCTAGGTTAGAGGAGAGAGGGATGTTTAGCTCTATGGCAGAAAGGACTCTGGCATATCCAAGTGGGAGCGGCCACTGGCCGAGGCAGCTTTTCTTAGTTGGGGTGTTTAAGATGAAATGAGGTATTGCTGGCTGCTCAACATGGGCTGGAGGCAGGGAAAATGTGGAGTGAGCCAGAATTCACTCCTCTCCTTCTCTGCCACACTTTACGCTTGTATCTCATCTCCCTCTCACCTCCTCCCCCAGGTACGACAACACAGGACCCCAGGGCTGCCCCAGTCCTCAACCCACAGGCAGCCCTGGAGCGATGATGAGCTCCACATATCCAAGCTTCAGGAGCTGCCCGATTCCTCTCGTGGACCTGCGGAGCTTTGATCCCACACCTGACACTGGAAGGGCACCCCCACTGCCCTCTCCCTGCCCCGGCACCTCGCTCGGGAACATACAGAGAGCCTTCCTGGAAGGCTTTCAGGCTTCCTGCTCTGAAAAAAAAAAAACACAGGGAAACCGAGGAAAACTTGTTTCTAGAAGTCTTCCTGGTTATTCTCGACCCTTGTGTGGCTCTGGGTAAATGTGTCACATGAAGACCTTAGACTTATGTGGGGATCTGTCCTTCACTGGGTAGTTTCATAATCATGACTACATCTGATTGTCTTATTGATCCCACCAAGATAGTGAGGGAGAATTTACCACCCCTTCTGGAGGCTGGGAACCGAGGTGTGCAGAGGTTAAGGGCGGAGCCAGCTGCCCTTGAATGTGGGCACCTGGCTGGGAGGTGGGAGGTGGGAGGTGGGAGCTGAGCTCTTCCCCCACACACCAACGCCTCCGTTCTGTAGTGAACCAGCGGAGGTGGAACACTCAGGTAGCCCAGGAGGCTCCAAGAATTCCCTTCCCCCTCCGTTCCAGAAGGAGCTATCTTGCAACCATTCTAGTCATCAGACAGTTCTAAACAGCACAAAGTAAACGGCCCTCCAATGACGAAGTGGGCACCGGGCCAGATACCTTTGAAGGGATCAGCTCCTTTAAATGGGTCGGATTTGAAGGGGTCTTCGGCCTGGAAAGGATCCGGATGCAATTCTTGGGCATTGTTGCTAAATAACAAGGCTTTATTTTTGAAAGGATCGTCCTATAATTTTGTGAAGAGACAGGACAGGAATTTTATTATTTCAAATTTAAAGCAAAGTACAGAATTCCCTACCCAACTTGCATATTTCTCCTTCAAGCAGTGGGACCTTACAGAGAACGATTAAAAAATCATCAAAGAAATGTGGACGTTGGTTCATAGTGACGTGCCGACAGTAGTTTGTTCGCGGTGACAAATGTTCATTTGCAGGGAAAAGGCATTAATGATAGGGGAAGCTGGGTGTGGGGTATGGGCGAACTTTCTGTACTCCCTTTAAGTTTTCCTGTAAGTCCACCACTCTTGCAAACTGAAAGTTTATTTAAAAATTGAGTGGACGCAACCCAAACAAACGTCCGCTGACGGACGAACAGATATACTGGATGTAGTATGTAAAGATAAAGGAAATATTATTGATCCTTGAGGACATTATGCTGAGTGAAACAAGCCAGTCATGAAAAGACAAATGCTGTGTGACAGTGTCACTTTATATGAGGTCCCTAGAGGAGTCAGAGTCAGAGACAGAAAGTAGAGCGGCGGGTGCCAGGGGCTGGGGGAGCAGGATGGGGAGTGGGGGTTCAGGGGGTATGAAAACGTTCCGGAGTTTAGTTGCGCAATGTGAATATATTGAGGCATGGTTCAGATGGTCGATTCTATGTTATGTGTATTTTCTCACAATTAGAAATTCTTCTTAAAAATAAATCACTAAGTCAGAAAACAGTGGTATTTTTGGAAATGTCAAAAAGAAAACCAAACAAGCCACTCAACGACAGCATGGGTCTCGTTCAAAAGTGTAGCCTCCCTCAATCTTTTTTTCACAGAACGTCTACCTATGTGGGCATTTTTTAAATGCTCTTTCCACACCAAGAAACACGCGGGCTATTTACATCTTGGGAGGAAATGAGTTGCTTATGAAGTCAGAACTACTAGAGCATATACACTTTGCACTTTGCATGTTTTTAAAAAAGTGCTTATTTCTAGAAACAAACAAGCATGTTTAAACCAGAAGGAAAAAAAAATTTGCTTTTGAAGAGCACATTTTTATAGTTGAAAATGGCCCAAATGTTGGTGGGGGGGTATAATCTACACAGGAACAATGCACTTCGTTTAGAAACAGTGAGTGTATTTTGGTTAATAAAGACACACCCTCAGTGAAAACACGAAGGTTTCACTGTGATATGAAAAAGCACAACATCCTCACTGAATCTGGCAGATGTGTCGGCACCCATGGGGCTGGCAAAAATCCATTATTCCAAAGCCAAATAATTAAAGAGCTGGGGCTTCCGTAAAAATACAGACAATGGTTACAGGGCAATGACGTCAAAGGAAGATTCCTGACGAGGCTCCCAGCACTCTGGGCTGGCCAACTTTGGGAAGCAGGATGGCTTTCAGAGGCACTGGGCCAATGGGAAGCCCCAGGCTTCAGAAGGATGACCAACACCCTTGCCCTCTGATGAATACAGAATGACTTTTCTTACCTGGGAAAGATTATCTGCAGCCTCCAACCACAGGGCTTCCCAAGGTGGGGAAACCAAGCAGGGTTCTTAGGCAAGGAAGTACAGATGTCTGCAAGCACCGCGTCTGGCGGAAGTGTGCGGTTCGTTAAGGACAGCATGGTGCTAACACCTGCACGAAGCATGCACCCAGCAAGCGTCTGATGGGGCTCTCTGACACAGATAAATATGAGGGAGAAGTCCTAATCTAAAGAAGCTGGGAGGCCAAGATGGAAAATCAACCTTTCACAATGTACCATGGGGGAAGGAATGTATCTGTTCCAGAAGAATGGAGAGAGATGATGACCGGGATACGGGTGTGCGTTAAGATGACAGCTTGGTCTCAGACTGGAAGCTTCCATCTAGTTTTTAACAGTACTGGTTTACAAGCTGGTGGGGTTTTTTTTTTCTTTAATGTTTTCGATCACCACTTGGAAGCCTGCCAAATAAGAGGGGGTGATGGCAGAGAGGAGACTGTGATTCTAGGGGCTCTGGCTGCGAGCCCCCTGAACTGAAAGTCAGGTCTGCAATCTCTTTCTCAGGGGCAATTACTTGCCTAAGGCAGCAATCGCTCCCTCCCCTTCAAAGAAGAAGCCTAAAGAGACCCCAGGAGGATTCATGTACGTAAGGTAACCACCAGTGGTTCTGATTCTATTTCATGGATTCGGAGCAGAAAATGAGATTTCCCCTGGTGCAGACATGCCATAAACGCCACCCTCCACTGACCACTTAGCAGTGAGAACTGAGCCAGCTGCCACTTGGGAGACACAGTGCAGCAGACAAGCACCAGGGCAAAAGACAGAGTAAAATACCTCGAACACAGAGTTCAGGAACTAGTCTTAAGTTCTGTACTTGTTAAGAAATAGATGTGACTACTCTGAAAGGAGTTACTGTGACTTTCCTTCCCTTTAGATGGGGGCTGGGCAGTGGTGTGCTGGTGAACCAGCTGAGGGAAAAAAAAAAAAAAAGCCCTGATTGGTAGCTTCTGCCAGTTCCCATGGTGTAAAAACTCCCACCGTGGCTGAATCCAAGTTACCAAAAATTGAACAATCAGGTTACAAAATTCCTATTTAATAATCAGCTCTGGAAAGTCAAGAAAATATGGCTCCAGCATGCCAGTGGGGCTGGATGCAACAACCCAATGATGAGTTCTTGGCGAGGCTTAAGTCTGGGATGATTTATTACCTTCTCTCTACTAGACAGGTTGGCTGGGTGCCGTCTTCAAGGGCAAGAGGCCAGTATTATCATCATCAGATGAGAGACAAGAAATAAATTTTGCTTTAAGAAGCATCAGTCTCTTGGACAAAGTAACATAGTTATGAGCTTAACACTAAAGTCAGTAACTTTAGAACTGTCCAGCCTTAGAAAGTTCTAGATGCACCTCTCTGGTTACACTATTCTCAGGGGACTAAACCCCTCACTTTCACCCACCTCAAAGAGAACTAAGAGCTCTGTGAAGCAGTCTTGAAATATTCAAGAGTAAACAAAAAGCCCTGTTCGAAGTATTTATTAAGAAAAGGAAACAAACCGAAAAATGCTTTAAAAACTGTATTTGTACAACAAGATAAATATAGTTTTTCTTTCGGACACTGGTTGCAAGTTTCTATGTGACATATCTGACATCGACATTCCAGGATGAGTTGACTATCATGTAAACTTTGCCCTGCTTACAAGATGAATGAAAATAAGGAAAGATTAAAAATCGGGGGGGGGGCCAAGGGGAGGAGGGAAATCACTGGCCACTTGCAAACTGCCACTCTGCTGCCAACTTTTTATCCAAGGAAACCGATCTTATTCGAACCTGCAAAAGGGTTTGAGAGTGAGCTGTTTCGTGAATGAAGATGAAACAGGACAAGCCCAAAGCTGTGCAAGGGGACCAACGCCAGATGGGGAAAGTGAAAGCAGGGCCGTGAAGCTGAAATGCACACACAGACAGGGGACAGCCGGACAGCCAAGAGGGCAACTCTGCCTCAAGCACTTAACGATGAGTGGATGTTGTTCCATAGTCTAAATTCAGACAATCAAGCTGAATTTGGGCCCCAGGGTGGATATGGAATTCACCCACTTACAATTCCATGACAAAAAGGAATCTGTGAATAGCAGAGGGAAGCAGCAAGGGCCAGAGACAGGAGACAGAGGAGAGCACCAACAGCATCTTCTAAGCGACCCAGGGAAGGAGGCGTAAGCTTCCCCATAAATTCCTGGGGCTGACTACTCAGCTGCTGAGGAAAGAAACACGTAAGAAATGAACATGAAGAGCTAAGTCTCTAGTTGAGAGAGACAGAAGCCGTTATTATTACAGGAAGGAAAAGGAATCTGCAAAGCCAACAGGGCCAGGAGCAGAAAAGGAGGGCTCGGAGGAGGAGTCCTGGACGAGGGGGCAGCAGTGCGGGGCGAGCAGTGAAAGGCTTCGGAAACACAGCACGACCAAACCATCGAGACCAACCGTGTCCCACTGGCTCCCTCAGGAGCACAGTGATGCTCTCATCAGCCAGACTAGAGTGGAAATGCTGGGGCTCGGGGCCAGGAACGAGGGGACCTGACAATTTGAGGAAAAAGTAACACTGGCTGGATGTGAGCAGCCCGAGAGTCCACAGAAACCAGAGAGGCCAACAGCCCCGTGGGCCTTGATCAGGAACCCTAGGGTCATAGAGTGCCGAGGTTTTCAGTGTAACCAAAATTGCAAGAGAGAGGCCAGTTCATAGGTCAAACAGCAGTGCCTCGAAAGGGCTGTCACTTTTCTTGATCTTTAGCAATACATTCGATTTTCAAGGTGCTCCTTGTGGGAACACAGACACACACACAGACACACACACACACACACACACAGACACACACACACACAGACACACACACACACACACAGACACACACACAGACACACACACACACACACACACACACACTCTCCCCTGGTCCCCCCAACTAGCAGGATATAGGGTTTCACAATGTGTGAGAGCTTGATTCAGTTTTGGTTACTTTTGGGAAGCCCTCCAAATGTGGGTGCTCAGCCCACTAGAGAGGATCTTTAAACACTGGTTTACAAAGGAGTCAGGCCTATCCTTTGCTTTGTCCCGGAAGCAAGGCCGGAGCACAGCCATGTACACTGGGCCGCAGGGCCTGTGGGGACACGCAGAGCGGCAGTGGACACAAGAAACACCCTGCATTTGGACAGAATCAAGGCTGGCAAGCGCCGGATCCCACAGGCAGGGCATCCTCTGATCTCAACGTGGGACCTAATCCCAGGACTTGAGTATGTTTATTCGACCTTTACCATGGCTCCAAAACCGCCCCTCTCTGTCAGAGAGACCCCCTCGCTCAGGTCGGCTAGGTTGGTCAGGCTGGCGCCGTGGGCCCCGTCGAGCGCCTCGTCGTACTGCTCCAGGGTCCTGTGGGCTTCCTGGTGGCTCTCGTGCAGCTCGGAAAGCTTGCTTCGTGCCTACACAACAAAGATGGCCGCTAGCACACGGGGTTTAGGGGAAAAGTGTCAGGCGAGGCATTTTCTTCTCCTAATGCCCAACCCCGAGTGATTCAGATGGGAAACTGAATTACTTGCCTACAGAGTTTACAAGAAGCGAGACCACGGTAAACCAGAATGAGGTCCTTCCCGCCGCCCCATGAGGCCTCTCTGTATCCCCACCCCCCGAGGGAGGCCCGTGATCAAACAGACTTTTGTCAATTCTGAACAAACTGAAACTGGTAAAATCCAGATTCACAATCTGTTCCAAGCGATTATCAACATTTTCCTTTATGGAGTTTTTATCACCCTGTTTGCATTAATAAGCAGCAGCGAACTTCACTGTTATTACTAACACACACTCATGTCTCGGTTCCTATCTACCTGTACAAACTCTTACTGCTTGGAGGTAAAAGGTCTTAAGATAATAACTACACCTGTTCATTAAGAATGAAACACAGTATACGGTATTAAACCCCTGGCACATGTTTGTAATCAACTTTTGTCTGTAACCTGGCAAAAAGAGTGAGAGATGGAGCCAGTCAGGAAAGGAAGCACGACTAGCCATTTTGACACTGCCAAGGGCGAGCATCACCCCCACTCCGCAGATGGGACACGCAGGGGCCATTGTGTACAGGGGAGGAGAGGAGCCCTCCCTCTGCTGGTGAGCCACCGCTGCAGGCCTCAGGGCCCTCACACGGGCATGGGAAAAGGACAGGGTGCCCAGACAGCTTGAAGAACTTGAAGAAGCATGGGGTGATGCTGGTCATAGGGTGGGGCCTCCTCCATGTGCCAGTCCGCAAACTGCATGGGGATGGAGAGGTGCTGGAACCGATCTCAGACTCTGTCCCTCTCGCTTGTCCAAGAACCACGCTGGTAAGGGCATTTCTGTGCCCAAGACCCTCTCCACAGGAGCTCTTCAAGTCCTCACGCAGACCCTGCCCATTCCCCCCAAATGGCACGCACTCAGGTGGGGAAGTGGAAGGCAAAGCAAACTGCCACCGGGCCAAAGTCAGCACAACGCCCGCATACACACTGGAGGGTTCTGGGGGCTCACCCTCCAGGCCAGGGTGGCAGCCTCTCAGAAGAGAGCCTAACATAAATGAGGTGGGTGACAGCAAAGGAAACAAGTGGCCTCGGTGCAGGTGCAGACCAACACAGGCTGGTCACATATAGCACTGTGACAGGTCACCGCAGCTACTCCACGTGCCAGAAGGCCCCGCCACGGCCAGCAGAGGCGGGGGCCCGCCCTCAGCAAGGTACCTGGTTGATTTCGTCTTGTGTTGATTTCAGGGACTTGATGATGGTTTCCAGTTGAACTTTCCCAGCCTGAATGCTCTGCTCCAGCTGGGTTTCTTCCTGCTGCAATCGGTTCAGCTCAGACTTGGCCCGGTTCAGGTCATCTTCCTGGGACTTGAGATCGGATTCCTGAGACTGGATTTGGGTCTTCAATGAGGAAATCTGAAATGAGATGAAATATGACTGAGGGAGAATTTTTTTTTTTTCCTAAGATTTTACTTATTTATTTGAGAGAGAGAGCATCTGCGCAAGTGGCAGAAGGAATAGAGAGGGGCAAGCAGACTCCGCGCTGAGTGCAGAGCCCGATGTGGGGCTTGATGTCACAACCTGAGCCTAAACCAAGAGCTGGACACTCAACCAACTGAGCCACCCAGGCGCCCCAAAGGAGAATTCTTAATTCACGTTGTTGGAAGGAGCTAGCCCAGTGAGGCAGACACCAGCCCGATGGCCGGACGCCTGGCCTCCTTCCAGGGCCCTCTCTCCACTCGCAAGACAGAGAGAAACAAGGCAGACATACTCAAAACCATGTAACTGGCAGAAAGTCAATTTGGGATAAGGAAGAATGAAACCTGGGATAAGCACAGGCAATCTGTCCCCCAGGGGCTAAAGATCCCCGAACAAGGCCGCAGAGGAGGACACAAGGCTTTACAATCTGCTGAGGCTGCAGCCCCTCTGGTTTGTAATGAGCAGTGAAGACAGCAGAGCGGGAGAGGGGCGTGCTGGCCCCCCTGTGCTGTGAGGTACAGGCCAGGGTGAGGTATCCACACACACAGGTTAGCAGGGACCAAAGGCCATTCACCGTATGGCTTGGTGGGTGAGACTGAAGTTAGGCCACAGATGCTTGGTCGCTTTTTCAAGTGGTATGTCTCTATTAATCCAGGAGGATGTCTCAGCCCTGTGTTTCAAGGGCATCGTGAGCTCAAAGAAGGCTGCAGGAAGCCCCCCTGCGGTACTGGGTGCGAGACTCACCATCTGAGTCTCGTCCTGGCACTTCTGCCTCACGTCGCTCAGCATGTCTCGGAGCTTGGCCTTCTGCTGATCCATTTCGTCAAGGCGGTCTTGGGCGTCCTGTTTCTGAGCTTCTAGCTCTTGTAAACTGCTTGTTTCCCGGTCTAAATCATTTTGTAATTCCTAGGAAGAGTTACATCACTTTACTTGAGACGGATAAGAATGGGGAATATCCAGGTAACAGGGTCTCAGCCTGGGCTGGAGCCCCCAGGACGTCCTACAAAACCGCCTGTGCCCCCAGTCTGCACTTGGCAGGCATCCGGTGCACACCTGCTGTAAATGCGTGCATCCTGGCTTGGCGGCTGTGGACTGAGCTCTCACTAAGTGTCCTGGCAAATACTTACTGACAGCCTAAGAGAGGCCAAGGGCCAGGAGAGTGGCTGGGTCCCAGCAAGAACAGCTGTCCAGTGGATGTGGTCAGGGGTGGAGAGAGGAGAGGCATCACCCAAACATAAATAAACTGGGAGGAATGGAACCAACAGAATGCATGAGTGCTGTTGGATGGACTTGGGGGCATGGGGAGACCGACCGATGCTGCACATATGGAGGGGACCCCCACGGAAGCACTACTTAGGGTGGACCTGAAGGACAAGCAGGCAGCAGCCACGTGAAGAGCCAGGAGGAAAGGAGCCCAATGGTGGGGGGACAGCAGGGGGCCCAAGGTGGGGAAGGGGGGTGGTTGGGCTCCAACTCGAGCCAAAGGAAGCAGGGCCACACCAAAGAGTCCGCACTTGCTTCTGGGGCAGGACACTGAAGTATGGGCTTGGGACACGACGCTTCTCCACTGCTAACGCTCCTCCAAATTGGCAGTATCTATCAAGATGACCTAGCAGCTACCCTCAGACCCGACTATGACACCTCTAGGAAAAGCACCTTAAGAGGTGTACGACACATGTGACTACATGTAGTGTGTGAGAGCAAAACCTGTAAACAATGTAAATTTCCACCAGACGGACCTGGCTAACAACTGCGGTACAGTCTTACCCTAAGAGAAGCTGCACCTCATACTCTGAGTTACAATGTGAAGCAAACAAGGCACGTGGCAGAGCACATGTGTACTTTGCATTCTGGCATTCGTGCAAACAGGAAGGAGAGAATATGCACAAATCTCTCTCCTTAAACATGCACATGACCTTCCTGGAAGGCCTCATGGGAGCCAATGAACTGCAGCACTGAGGGGGTGAAGAGGAGGGCAGGAGGCTTCACGCCTTTTGATTTTCAACCAGGCAAGTATCTTATCAAATGTCTTACAACTAAAGCTAAAATCACGGATGGGTGGGGCAGAAGAGATGGAGGCCTGGGGGTGCTGACGACGGGAGCAGGGAGGGGGCCTGGAGCTAGGTGAGATGGTGGCCGTGGGAACCAAAGTAAGGGAAAGATTTGAGGGGACCTTGAGGGTACAGGAAGACAGGGATGGTGAGGCCGATCCCCAGGGCTGGCCTGGGCTATGGGTTGCTGGTGCCATTTTAGGAAAAAATCCAAAGCAGTCACAGCGTCTCCTCTCTGCCTTGATAAAAATGTCATGCCTCTCTCCTCTCTGGATAGCTCCCCAGGCTCCCTGCCCCTGACCTTTAATTAAGGAAGCAGATCCTCAGTCTGACAAGTTTGGGGAAGGGAAGAGACTGGTGGTAGGGAGTCTAGGACATGGGTCTGCCACATCTGCAGGAAGAACAGTGATGGAGGAGGAGGAGACGAAGCAGGGAGGCGGGTCAGGCCCAGTGTGGTAGCCTGGGAAACCAGGTGGCCAACAGCCTGGGACATCAAGGAATCTGAGTCTCATTCTATAAAGAAGAAGGAGGAATCAAAGAGCCCCACAGGGACAAAGACCCACCAGCTCATGGTTAGGATGGGAGCTGGGTCAGAATGGGGAAGGTGTCTAAGCAAAAAGAACACAGAAATAACCCAGACAACCTACAAACTCAACTCAATTCAAACCCCCCCAGAATCCCCTGCTGGCTTCTGTACAGAAACTGACAAGCTGATGCCAAAATTCATTAAGGAAATGCAAGGGACTCGGAATAGCCAAAACAATCTTGAAAAAGAAGAAACAAAGTGGCAGGACTCATACTTTTCAATTTCAAAATTTACAACAGACATACCTCAGATACATCGTAGGTTTGGTTCCAAATCACTGCAATAAGCAAATATTGCGATAAAGCAAGTCAAATGAATTTTTTAGCTTCCCAGTGCATATAAAAGTATGTTTATACTATACTGCAATCTATTAAGTATACAACAGCATTATGTCTAAAAATAAATGTACACACCTTAAATAAAATAATACTTTATTGCTAAAAATTGCTAACCATCATCTGAGCTTTCAGTGAGTCATAGTCTCTGATCACAGATCACCATAACATATATAATAATGAAAAAGTTTGAAAGATTGCAAAACCACCAAAATGGGACAGAGACACAAACTGAGCAAATGCTACTGGGAAAATGGTGCTGATAAATTTGCTTGACACAGGGTTGCCACAAACCTTCAATTTGTAAAACAAAAACAAAAAAACCACACAGTATCCGCAAAGCACAATCTAGTGAAGCACAATAAAATGAGGTATGCCTCTAAGAAGCTCAGTCATCAAGACAGTGTGGTATTGACATAAGGAGAAATGCAGGTAGATCAACGGGATAGAATTCAGAGTCCAGATATAAAGCCACACATCGATGGCCAAGTGATATCCAACAGGGGTGCCAAGACCATTCAATGGAGAAAGAACAGTTTCCTCAACGAATGGTGCTGGGACAACTGGATCTCCACATGCAAAAGAAGGAAGTCAGACCCCTACCTCACACCATATGCAAAAATTAACTGAAAGCAGATCAAAGATCTAAATGTAAGAGCTTAAAATGATAAAATCTTAGAAGAAAACATGGCGTAAATCTTTGTGACCCTGAATTTGGCAATGAGTTCTTAGATATGACACCAAAGGCAAGAGCAGGGGAAAAAAAAAAAAAAGGAATAGACTGGATTCACCAAAATTTAAAAACTTCATGCTTCAAAGGACACCATTAAGAAAGTAAAGACAACCCACAATATTTGCAAATCACATATCTGATGAAGAACTTATATCTAGAAACTATCAAGAACTCTTACCACCCAGCTATTGAAAGACAATCCAATTTAAAAATGGTCAAAGGGTCCGAACAGACATTTCTCCAAAGAAGGTACACAAATGGCCAATGGGCACATGAAAAGATGCTCAACATCATTAGGGAAAGTGTTAGGGGCAATCAGGTACCGCTCCACACCCACTAGGAAGGCTAAAATAAAAAATGGGAAATAAGTGCTGGCGAGGATATGGAGAAACAGGAACCCTTATGCATTATAGGCCGGAACGTAAAATGGCACAGCCACGTTGCAAAACAGTCTGGCAGTTCCTCAAAAGAGTTACCATATGATCCAGCCATTCCACTCCTAGGTAACAGACCCAACAGAAGTGAAATCATATGTCCATGTGACTTGCACATGAACGTTCACAGTGACGTCATTTGCAATAGCTAAAAAGTCAAAGAACCCAAATATCCATCAACAGATGAACAGACGAACAAAATGTGGTCCAGCCACACTGTAGGGTCTCACTCAGCCACAAAAACGAAGGATACACTGACACATGCTGGTTCATCATTCACGACGTGGATGAACCTTGAAAACACGAGGTGGAGTGAAAGAAGCCAGACACAGAGGTCACACCATGTATGAGTCCATTACCACGCAATGTCCAGGTCAGGTAAATCCGAAGACAGGAAGCAGATCAGTGGTTGCTAGGGGCTGGCGAGGGGAACGGGGACTGCTAATGGGGACAGGGCTTCCTTTCGGAGTGAGGAAAGTGCGGACGGACTGACAGTGGTGATGGTTGTACAGCCCTGAGCACGCACTAAACACCACTGAATTATACGCTTTAAATGGATGGACTGTGTGTATGTGAGTTCTAGCTCAGTAAGGCTGTTGTCACAAAAACAAAATAAAACGAAAAACCAGGCAAAGAAGCTGCAGGTGCTCACCAGAATGACAGCAATGGAAATGGAGGTGAGAGACCCCCCAGGGAGGACGGGGAAGGGGTACCCTGGGAACAGGACCGTGGGAGCTGAAGCTGAACCTTCCGCTGCCTAAAACCAAACATAAAAGGACCTGAGGACAAAGGACTCATATTCCACGTGGGGCCCTGACCCACAGAACTGTGCTACTGGGTGTGGCAAGTGATCTCCTGGCCAGACCCATGTGGGGAAAGGTGGCAGGAACCAAAGCCAAACCTGGTTTTCACAGGGGAACTTGCAAAAAATACAGTGTCCTGTCTAGGACCAAAAGCTGCCATCAAGTGCTACAGCAGAGCCCCGAGCTGGCCGGCTTACAAATGAGGCCCCCACAGAACAGGGGCCAGTCTGGCTGGCGCTGGGCTCCCTCCCGGCTCTGGGGAGCTACTGAGGCACACAAGGACCCCAGCACCTGAAAGACTGCAGGTACGTGCCCGTCAGAGCCCACCAGCCAGGGCTCTAGGCGGCTTGGCGGCACCTGTCACAGACCAGAGGAGACAGTACCTTCAGATGTCAGAACAAGTCACTGCAAAGACCTGACATCTTCCTCAGAATCGCCCAGAGCAGGCACCAGAGACCCGATGATTGGTTTCCTGGGCAGTTAAAGGCCATCATAGCACCCAGATCCTCAGGGACCAGAATGAAAACCAAATCATGTTCATGGCAACCCAGACCCAGCAGGAAGGGAAAACCGGCCACACGGCCATGTCGCGGGCTAGGCCCTGCCCAGGCATGAGGGACGAGGGGCCAGCTCCGCCACACCCCAGGACTAGAAGGATGGAAGCTGAGGGGATGCAGGGCACGGAGGGGCGGGAGTGGGCTCTGTGTCTGAGGGATCAGTTCTAGGACATGGATAGAAATCAGAGGCCTGAGAGAGAATAAAATGGCAGGAGGAACGTACTGTGGGGGCTTTCAGAGAAATACAGTCACTTCGCCTGCAAGGTGGCCTTATAACTGAAGCAGCTCATCTGAGCAAAAAAGCCGTTCCTGTCAGAGGCAGGCCAGTCCCTGCTTTCCAACCCGAAACATTCCAGGAGACCATCTACAGCCCAGTCCTCACTGCTAACATGCATGGACAGTGAGAAGCCAGGAAAGGAAAGAAGGCTCTGGACACCGCACAGCGTGAACCGGTGAGTGTCCCGAAGCAGCAGGCACATCTACCCCACCTCACCTGCAGACCACAGCCACGACACATGGCCCTTCCCACAGATCGGCGGGACATGCCATCCTCCCAGTCTCCCAGAATCCTCCAGTCCCCTTGTGGGTGGCACAGGGGAGGGCCACCCAGCACCTCGAGAGCCCGATGCTACTTACTTGCCCTGGCTCAGGTCCACACCCTCAGAGGTGGCCCAGAAAGAACCGGCCACTGTCCTGGCACACACGGCCACTCTTGGCTCTGTGAGCAGCCCACGCACTGACCCTCGGTGCCTGCTGGGGAGATGGAAGCTAGGAGGCCGAGCCACCGGTCCGGGTCACTCAGGTGAGGCCCGGTGGAGCTGGAGTCCTGACCACTTGGCCATGCTCCTCTCCCCCACCCAGCTCTGAGCTCAGAACACTCAAAGTCCTCAAGCAGAGACCACCAGTCCCAGTGGCACTTCTAGCGCTCACTCTCAGGGTGCCACAGCCACCTCAGACCCGAGACATCGTGGGAACCCATGTGCCTTCACTGGTGCAGCTGCCCGGGGCTGACTGCTTTGCTCTGGTGCAGACTCCCGTCTGCTCAAATGATGAGAAGAGCAGGGAGGGCCCTGAGTGAGTGCTGAGCATACATGCCAGACCCCATTTTCCAGCCCCACAACTCAGGAAAGCAGAACAGTCATTACCGATGTCATATAAGACCCGGAGATGTTAAGTAACTTGCCCAAGGTCACACAGCTAAGGAGAACTGGGTTCGAGCCCAGCAGTCAGACTCCCAGTCTCCGCATCACCACCACATGCTAGGAGGCACTGCAGGAAGCAGGACTATCCTGAGAACAGGTTAGCAGCCACTGACTGAACCTCAAACATGGAGACGTGAGTGGAAAAAGCCAGACACAAAAGGTCTCACATCTAACGTCCAGAACAGGCATATCCATAGACAGAAAGCAGATTAGTAGTTGCCAGGGGCTGGGGGAGGGGCAATGGGGGGTGGTGAGGGCTAATGGTCATGGGGTTTCTTTTTGGGGTGATGAAAATGTTCTGGGACTAGATGGAGGAGATAGCTAAGGAACATACTGAATATGCTAAAAACCACTGAATTGTATGCTCTAAAGGAGCAATTTTTATGTGATGTGAATTATAGAGCTCAAGTGAAAAAAAAAAAAAAAGAAAGAAAGAAAAAAAAAACCCCGGTCTATGGTTATAGGAAACTTAGAAGCCTCACCTGGAAGCCCCCCAGAAGCTTGTGCTTCCAGGAAGGGCAGGGCTAGCTTTCCTTCACCCCGCCCCCACTGACAGGCGCGGCCGGCGCTCCGCAGGGCACAGCTCATCTGCCCAGGGCGAGCACTGTGCTTACCTGCACTTCGTTGCTTTTCTGTCTGATTGCCTCTTCCTTTTCTCTAATGTCTTGTTCCAGGGAATACTTCTCTCTGGGCATTGAAAAAGATTTCAGGGAAGCACAGATGAGTGATAGCATGCCTACAGCCATGGTGTAGTCTCTCGGCGCCGACTTCTCGATGCCCAATTCCGTCCCTACCCACAGAACCCAGCTCAGCTGGCTCCCAGTGACTGTGCACCCGACATCATCCCCTCCCCTCAGTGTGGGTGGAATCTGTCGATACAATGAGGCAATGCTCCCAATGAGACCACTCGAGCCCCCAGAGCAGAGGGAAGAGGAAGGCAGAGCGAAGCCCAAGGTGCGGAGGGCTCAACATGCCCTCACTGACTTTGCCCCCGGAGGGCAAAGCGCTTTCTCGGCCCTTCTGCTCAGTGCCCTCCCCCAGAATTAACTGGTGAGAGGCGGCTGCTTTGAAGAGGATCCCAAGGACATACAGGAAATGGATGCACTTCTTTCTGCCAGATTCTGAGAGTGCAGACACCCCATCCAAAGCCCTTGTTTACGGGTGGGGAAACTGAGGCAGAAGGCACAGAGAGGAGCCACAGACTTGTACACAAAGCCTCTCTCAGTTAGCTGTCGGTCCTAAGCCATTAACTTGCCACCTGAGACTCTGCCATTTTATGTGCTGAGGGAGAGCAAGGCCTTCCTGAGCTCAGGGGGCAGGGCCTGGGGCTGCCTAGCAACAACCTGCCCGAGACCCCACAGCCCCCACTGACTACTGCGGACGTCATCACTCGAGCTCATTCAGTCAGTTCAGGAACTCAGAGGAATGTGCAGCCCTTCACTTCTGCTGTACGGCCTTGTGATGGTCAACTGGCCGCCATGCCTCACAAGCCTCTGGTACTTGTGGTAACAAGCTGGGATAGGCGCTGGTGTAAGGTTCAGATTCTCAGGGGAAGGAGCTTTAACACACCTTTGTAACTGGGCGATCTCTTGACTGATATCATCAAGTTCTTTCACACCAGTAAATTCCCCTGATCCAAGAGAACTTGAACCGTCCTGGAACGAAATTCAAATACAGAATTAAAAATTGTCAAGCTGAGGGGCCCCTGGGTGGCTCAGTTGGTTAAGTGTCTGACTTGATTTTGGCTCAGGTCATGATGTTGGGGTTGTGAGACTGAGTTCAACGTCTGCCACGGAGCCTGCTTAAGATTCTCTTTCTCCCTCTCCCTCTGCCCCTCCCCTCCCTTAAAAAAATAAACTGACAAACTGAGGGGCGCTTGGCTGGCTCAATTGGTGGAGTATGTGACTCTGGATCTCGGGGGTGTGAGTTCAAGTCCCACACTGGATATAGAGATTAGTTAAAAATAAAATCTTAAAAAAAATTTGACAAGCTGGCCTCAAGGCCCAGCGGGGACTAGTGGTCCTGGTATGAGGAATATAATCATGGTATCTCCAATTCACAGTAGCAAAAGGGCCAGCACCCTGCCTGGAAAACTATCCCAGTGGCCCAGACACACCCCCTAGACCCACCCCAGGGCCCCTGGTGAAGGCTGGGGCCAGATCAAAGTAGGCAAAGACAGCAAGGCACTGGCGGGCTCACGCGGGCCACTGCCGCCACCTGGTGGCAGGCTGCGGGAAACCACACGAACAAGACCGGGTGTGGCCAGCAGTACTCACCGGGATGGGAGTGCCTCTCTCTGAGGGCGGGACCATGTCCGGTGACAGAACTTGAGGGGGGTCGATGCCTTTACTGACCTTCTGCTGAATGAAGTACATAGCTAATGCAAACTGGTCTTTACTTAACTTCCCTGTTTGCCTCGTATCAGCCAGGGCCCTGGGAGAAATATGCAGATGCTAATTACACGTCAAAGAAGCAAGAATTCAGCCCTGCATGCTAAGTACAAATCACAGAACCCATCCTTTAAAGAAATGACCAGCGACAATACAAACAATGGGGCACAGCGGCAACTCCTTTTCTACTGAACATCCCGTTCCCGGACAGCAGTCCCGATACCCTCCACCCAAGCACCCTGCCCAAAGACTGGCTGGAGAACCACCAAACCCCACCCCACAGGCCAAGGTGGCGGGCCTTTGGGAGGACCTCATCAGCAACTACCAGAAATGGCACCAGCTCTTCACGGCGTGCACGCGGGGGCCCGCGATGGTCCAGTACAGAGCAGCTGTTCTGGTAGACATGAAGCGGGGCCCGAGCGTGTCCCCTCAGGTCTCTAGCCAGCCCCTGCAGCCCGGGTTATCCGAGCAGCCTGAGCGGCTGGCTTTCAACGGGGGTGACAGCAGCAGCATTCTGGGTTGTCATCCTGAGGCGATGGGGCCCGGAAAGCCACGCCTGACCGTGCTGCTCAGGGCAGTCCCTCACAGCTGAGGTGTCCCTGCTCCCGTGGCCTTCTGGCAGCCTGGCAGACGGGCAAGGCAGCACGTAAGCCAGCAGCACACGGAGCTCCCGCAAAGCCTGGGAGAGAAGCTCTGCAACCAGCTCAGTAACCAAGGAGCTGGCCGTTATGGGAAGGAAAGCTTCACGCAGTGGGACGAGGCCTCCACATCTGCAAAATGTCTCACCCCGGCCACTCAACAGGCGGCCTCACTTCCCACTGCGCGTAGTGACTGCAGAGCAATGACACTACCCTCTAACACATAGCAGAGGAGAGCTGGGAAAGGTGAACAGACTCCAGCCCAAACAGCCAATGAACAGGGCCGCGGCGGGGAGGGGTGCATAAAGACCCCACCGAATGTTGCTGATAAAGGCTGGTCTAAAAACATCTTCATTCTTGTTGCAGTCTGAGGGTGAGGTGTGCTGATTCTGCCTGCCAGGGCCGGTCCTGCTGCACACCCAGGCCACAGCTGCTCCTGGGCCCGAGGCCTCTTCTCTCGGGCCCTCTCCTGCTCCCCGTCTCTGAAGAAGCGTGGGCTCCAAGGCCCGCATTGCGCTGTGCTCGGCCAGCCCCCACCCGTGGCAGCACTGCGTTCTGGCTCCAGGGCTATGCCCCCGAGGCCTCGGGCCGCAGCTGCTCCCGACCAGCCCTCCGGGCATGTTACCTGCGCTTCAGGGATGCCCCCCCAGCTTCCCCGGCCACCCGCAGACAAGCCCAGACTGTCGTGCTACTCTTCAAGAGCGTGCTCATCCTGCCTTTTCCCTTATATGCAACACTTTCTGCGTTCCTTCTTTAATCCAAGCATACTGGTGATTCCACTGTGTCACTTCCCCGTGGATGCACCATTTGCAGGTTGAGGTACTGTCCCTGTGCTATGATCGGGGCGCGGCATCGCTACCTTTGAATCACACGTACATCCCACTTCAAGGTGATAAAGGGGACGCTGCACTTCCTCAGCCTCTAAAATGGGGCAAGGGAGCTGAAGGGGCGGAGAATGACTGTCCCTGACCTGTCAGAAGCAGCTGGTCTCCCCCAGCTGTTTGGTGACTGGCTGGGTGTCACACACTCCTGAAGGGACAGCCTGTTTTCTCAGGTTGGGGCCTCCCCTCACAGCGTGGACATCTATGAATTATTACCAAGGACGTGCTAAATTTCACTGCTCTTCTTTGGAGGCGTTCACCTCTCCAGAATTATATGGAAATTCTCTCTTTGTGACTCCCAAGTGAAGCCCCCTAAGCCCTGAGGACAAAGTTAGAAAGTGACCTTCACCACTGGTCAGCTGCGAAAGAAGCCATCCCAGTGCTGTGAAGATTGCTCTGGTCCACCCTGAAGGAAAGTAGGGGTGAGGCCGGCTCCCTGACCGGCCCTGAGGTGTGGACCAGAGTCTCGCTGACTGCTCACTCTCCTGATGGGAGCCGAGTCGAGTCACTGACCTTCATAGGCCTCCTAGGGGAGGCGGCCGCAGTCACCACTGCCCAGGGCGGCTCTACCGGAGCTGCTGGAGACATACCGCACACGCCCCTCACAGGGGCAGAGCCAAGCGTCCACACCCCGACTGGCTGTGGCAAAGGCTGGGTGTCCCGCTACAACCAGCATAACCACCAGCAAGAACTCGCCCCAGTCACTCAAGCAAATCGCCCCAGAGCTGTGAGAGGGACTAAACGGGTGGAGAGTGAGCTGCCATGCCCAGGGTACAGAAGGGCCTTCGCAATCCTACCTCACTCAGCTCCCGTCCGCCCCGGCAGGAGGCCTGCTGCAGGGCTGGAGAGACGCCCCCGACCGCCATGCCCTGATGGACGCCTGCCCCTCCTTCAGCACAAGCCTCACTTCCTCGGGGCCCCTCAGAGCCAGCCACAGCCATGACCTCCACACAGGAGGCCTAGACGATCCGACGTCCAGCTACCCATCCTTACCATATGTGTGCTAGAAGGTTCTGGGTGAGGCCCGAGTGCATGAAGATCTCCTTCACCTCCTGGCCGCTCACATAGCCATCCAGGTCCAGGTCGGTCTTCAGGAATATCTCATCAAATCGCATCTTATCTGCAACCGGCACCACCCAGCTCACGGTTGGCTGAAACGGGTTTCAGAATGGTTGGTCTCTAGCTTCTCATCACCACAAACAGGTGCTATTAAAGCGCTTCCACGCGCTCCTGACCTCCTGACGAGAGAACTATTAAGGCGCTTCTCCACACATGTGAGTAGCACGACTCCATGACCCCAGAGGGCACACAGGAGCCCCATTCTGTAAGTGGGGAAACTGAGGCTGAGAGCAGCTGACACCACTCAGTCAGCCTCTCCCACCCCATCACAGCGCCCCCTCCTCCTTGTATTTAGAGGAGGATAAAGACCCAGCAGGTCTGAAGGGGCTTGAAGGGAAGCCGGTGAATTCTCCTTCCAGGAGGGGGTCCAAATGTGCCAGGCAAGACCCTCCTGACGGCCCATGTTAGAAGGACGGTCTCCTGAGCACCAACCAGCCCCGCTCTGACGCCAGCCTTCCTGATGCTCTCGTCTTCTGCCTGCAAACACTTCTCTGCAGCTGCCACAGGAGTTCTCATGCCCACGCTCGGGATTCTGTACTCCGTCCTTTGAGTACAGACTCCATTCCCCATGACACAGCAGCGTCCCCATGAGGTGTCAGCGCACAGCAGACACTGACAGGGACTGAATGAGGCGGACGTGAAAATGGTGTCTGCTGGATGGACAGGCACCCAGGGCCCTCTGGTGCTGGCGGGGGAGCCCAGGCCCCAGATGAGCATGCCTGCCACCCACAAGGGCCCCACCACCCTCGAGGGCACTGCCCCGGCAGATGCAGCAAAGAGTATCTGCGAGCCCCGGGTAGTGCCATTTCGGCAGCGACAGGGCTTGGCCACCTGCTGCATGTGTGACCCCTCCCGCTGCCTGCTCAGGTCTACATAAGAGGGGTCCACCAGGGCCCATGTACCTCCTATTTCAGGGGCATCGGGGGCCCCTTCAGCTGCTAATTCTGGACATGTCACCTCTGACCTTTGGCATACTCATTGAACCAAGTTCCACAGTGCCTCTGCCCCTTCTCCTAGAGACGTTTTTCCTCATCTGCTCTTTCTGAACAGGTCTCCCTCGCTATCCAAATCCAGCGTGATCCTGACACGAGCACTGGGAATCCAGAACGCGGGGGGGGGGGGGAAGGGGGCGGAACCAAGGGACACCATGTTACCCGGATCATTTCAGTTCCAGGATTCTGGATAGTGAGAATGAGTTAGTCCAGCAAGGATTTATCAGAACCTGTGGACCGAATTCAAAGAGCAAGGGCTCAGGCAGCAGGAATTTAGATAACGAGAGAGACCTGCACTTTACCTGCCCTATTATGTGAATTTTGTAAGCCACCTCAGAGTAGACATAAAGACGCACATAAAGGATCTCTAACAAAGAAGAGGCTTGCTGTCTTTACATCCAGTGGGTGGGGTAAGCTAAAGCTCAGATGCCAAGAAACCTGAGGAGGGAGTAACAGCAGATCAGACAAGCTAAGCTGGGGGAGAAAACGGTTTCTGTGCTCCACAAGTCCCAAGAGATTATAACTCTGGGATGACAAAAATCCTAACATTCAATGTGCACACAAAATGAGCTTGCTGCCTGATTTCTGGGGTGTCAGAGTATGTTGACAGCAACACTCCGAATCCAACTTGGCTACAAATCCAACAGGGAACAGCCTTCTCCTTGGAGCTGGGTCTCCCAGAAAGGGCTGGGCTTAAGGCTGGCTTAGCAGCCACAGGACCCCACTAAATAGCAACAGACCCTGGTGGCTGAAAGGGGCTGCACCCCACAGCTGGCTGTGAAGACAGGACCTTGCGGCCCCAGGCTGGTGGTGAGAGAAGTGGGGGAGGGGATGGCATGGTGACTGTGGGTCCCCAGAACTGCTCGCTCTCAAGTCTATGACTCCACCAGCTGCCCCCATCCTTGGGGAAAGGAACGCACCCGCAGAGTGTCTGAGCTTGCTCCCTCTCTAGCCCTGGCCTTGCTCTGGTGGCCCTGGGGTTGATGCACACTCTGCAGGACCTGTGAGTCATCAATCTTAGTGTTTCAAATTTTTCTGATGGTTGTTGCCAAGATGCATTTTGCAAATTCTAACAAGAGCCACAAAGACATCTGCTCCGGGGTCGGGGAAGTGTCGGCGGGGGCTCGCCTCAAGTCATGGGGGCCCAACTGAGCACCACAGGCATCCCTAGCGGACAATGCCACTTACGGACAGGCCAAGACCAACACAAGATGGTTTCCCATTTCTGCTCTTATGGTTCATATCTGAACCTGCATGGCAGTGCTGGCTGGCCCTCTTCACGTCACCTGCACTACTTTCCCTCTGAAACCAAAAATGAGGCAGAACGCAAAGCATGACTCAGGATGGAACGCAGGATGTCACATTCTTGCGTGTTTGAGATCATCTCAAAGGTGCCTTTTTATAAAAGAGCCCTTCATGGTGTGCTACATTTGCCAGAACAAGAAACGTCTTTCTGGTTTGTTTTTTTTTTAAGATTTTATCTATTTCTTTGACAGAGAGAGCGAGAGAGCACAAGCAGGGGGAGCAGCAGAGGGAGGAGAAGCAGACTCCCCACCAAGCAGGGAGCCCGATGCAGGGCTCGATCCCAGGACCCTGGGATCAAGACCTGAGCCTAAGGCAGACGCTTAACTGACTGAGCCACCCAGGTGCTCCAAGAAATGTCTTTTTGATACATAAGATGCTGCCCGCTGGGAGTCAGAGCCCCCACACCGTCTTCCTAACAAGAGATGGACACCTCCCTTGCTCACGTGACACTCAACACGTTTACTGAGCATCAGAGTACCTGAGATTGCTCTGGCACTGAGATGATAACCAAGAACTAACTCTGTTCTCATGAAGCTAAGCGGGAGGGATGTGGAAGAGACAGATGACACATAACTATGTAACAGGCCAGGCCTGGGAAATCTAGAACGCAGAGTGGACAGAGCCCAGGGCACACTGGCTGTGGTCACGCCCGAGCCCCCTGCTAAGGTGCCCCATGTGAGCAGAGGCCTAACGAAGCAAAGTGCTGGAGTGTGATCCGGGAATGCACCTGCCCAGCAAAGGCGCTTCCTGAGGCAGGAGGGACAGAGACAAGACAAGAGAGCCCGGAGGTGGGATCAACCGGAGTGTCTGAGGAAGGGTGGTATTTGTGTGCAAATGAATGAGAAACGTAACTCCGAATCACTGTAGCTATGGACTCGATGTTTGTGCCCCCCCCCCCGACCACAGAATTCTTGTTAAAACCTAACCCCAATGTGATGGTATTGGGAAGTGGGGCCTTGGGCAGTGATTAGGTCATGAGGGTGGAGCTCCATGAAGGAGATCACTGCCCTCATGGAAGGGACCCCAGAGAGCTCCCTCGTCCTTTGCACCACGTGAGGGCACAGTGAGGAAACCATCTGTGAACCCGGAATCAGGCTGCCATCAGACACCCAATCTGCCAGTGCCTGGATCTTGGACTTCCCAGCCTCCAGATTTTCTGTGAGAAATAAATGTTTGTCACAATCACCCAGTCTATGGTATTCCATTACACTCAGAGTAAGGTACCGACCATAAATATTGTTTTAAAAAACATAATCATGGGGTGCCTCGGTAGCTTAGTCAGTTAGGCGTCTGCCTTCAGCTCAGGTTGTGATCCCAGGGTCCTGGGATCGAGCCCCACGTCAGGCTCCCTGCTCAGCAGGAAGCCTGCTTCTCCCTCTCCCTCTGCTGCTCCCCCTGCTTGTGTGTGCTCTGTCCGACAAACAAAAAAAAATCTTTTAAAAAATACTAACTAACTAACTAACTAACTAACTAAATAAATAACTAAATAACTAAATAAATAACTAAATAAATAAATACATACATACATACATACATACATACATACATACATACATACATACCGCAATCACCAATGTTACCTTTCTGGGGTCCTGAATTACTTGCTCCCAAGGAACATCCGGCTGGAACTCTACCCGCGCAAACGGCGGCTGTAGCAGGGGCCGCACTCAGAGGGCACCGTACCTGTGTTTGCTTGATGCTGTGCTTGGGGGACAAGCTCCCCGTGCTGTTCAGGCTGCTGACGCTGCCGTGCGAAGGCGTGGAGCGGAGGCTGTCTTTTGGCGGGGGGCTGGCGGGCAGGACGGGCACGGCGCCTGGGAACACGGTCTTCTTCCTCTTGGAAGGTGGGATGAGGGATGGGGGCAGGACGGAGGGCACAGGCTCCTTCTCGAGAGCTCGGTACACCAAGTGCATCGCCTGGGAGTGTGAAAGAGGATTACGTTCAGGCAGCCAGGCGCAGGCCATGGGCAGGGAAAGGGCAGCTCTTTCCGGGACTGCAGCGATGGGACAAAGACTGCTCTTCTGGAGGTCCCTCCCAGCTGAACAGAGTAAAAGATAAACCTTCCCTGATGCGTTCTCTTCCAATGCATCATTTTTCCAAGATGTGTTTAATCACATAAGATCAACATGAGCCCAAAAGGAATTCAATCATGCCCAACTCCACACGTGTCCCTTCAGCACAAAACTCCAGGGCTGACGAGTCCCGAAGTAGTGGAATTTGGAAGTCTAAAGACACACCACAGGCACTATACGTACTTCCTGTTTCAGGTGGGCAGAGAAAAGAAACTTTGTCTAATACAAAGATTTAAGTCTGTTTGAAAGTGTAACAAAACCAGGGGTCCCTGGGTGGCTCAGTTGGTTAAGCCTCTGACTCTTGATTTTGGCTCAGGTCCTGTCCATGCTGGGCATGGAGCCTGCTTAAGATTCTCTCTCTCCCTCTACCCCTCCCCCTGCCTCAAAAAAAAAGAAGAAAAAGGTAACAAAATCAAACCAAAATTATAACCCTTCCCACTTAAAAATATTCCTTAAGTTGCTATTTGAATATAGACCAGCTCACTAACATAGGTAAAATTTACCATCACTTAAAAACGCTACAGAATGTTAAACCCAGAGAGTGATGAAAAGAAACCTAAATGACACAATTATAAGACCCATTTACAGAACAATATAAATCTCAGCTGAAATGATAGGAAATGATAAAAACAAAACAAGAATGGAAACTCAGGGCTCCTGAGGCCATGAAGAGAGGGGCATGTGCCCGGGTTCACTGTGGGCCAGCCATCCCATTCCTGGGAAATCACCCCAAGAGCAGTTCGACGATCCAAACACCTCAAGTCCAGTGCGGTCAGAGAAAATATAAAAACTAAATAACGAGGGTCTGTGGGACAGCGAAGCTAGTGTTCAATGGGGACAGAGTTTCAGTTTTGGAGGATGAAGGGTCCTGGAGATGGGAGGTGGTGGCAGCTGCACAGCCACGTGAAAATATTAATGCCACTGAACCACACACTTGAAAATGACTATGATGGTAAATTTTATGTTCTATATATTTTACCACAATAAAAAAATAATAATGGGGTGCCTGGGATGGCTCAGTTGGTTAAGCACCTGATTTTGGCTCAGGTGGTGCTCTTGGGGTCATGAGATTGTGCCCTGTGTTAGACTCCAAGCTCAGCGTGGAGTCAGTTTGAAATTCTCTCTCCGTCCCCCTCTGCTCCCAGCCCTGCTCGTGCTCACTTGCTTGTGCTCTAATAAATCTTAAAAAAAAAAAAACAAAAAACCCACTACCCTTAACTATAAGAAGCTACTTTGTTCTACTTTGTTTGAGATTTAAGGGAACAAGGTGAATAAATCCCATGAATGGGAAAGGTCAAAGAAGTGAGGTGGAGGGAAGGGAGGAATGACAGGAGAGACAGAATGACACAGGCCCAGGGTGAGGAGGGCTGGCTTGCAAGGACATGAGCCTGGCCGCTGGGCAGCTGAAGAGGAAGGTGGGGAGCTACAGGGGTGTGGAAGGCGCAGCTGCATGGGAAAGCAGCCTATAGGACGGGAGAGCCCTGATCAACACACAGAAACACCAGGGCCATTAAAAGAAGAGGGCGGGAGTACCAGGGCTCAGACACAAGCAGACCTGAAAGCAGATGGTGGTGCCCTGGGACACCTGCTGGGCCCATCTATACACACCTACTTCCAGCTCTGTCTACTAAGAGGTCCTGAAAGCAGTGGCACCCCAGGGGCACTGAGCACCCCAGAGCCCACATCCTGGTTTCTAACACCATTCGCCACTACATGGAACCGGGGCTCCCTGGAGAACCAGGGCCGGGGCAGGTATTTCCTAATACACAGGAGGAGCCAGGAGCATCCCCCCAAGCCAAAAGGAAGCAAGTGCTCAGACAATGATGTGATGTGACCAAAGAACAAAGGAGCCAGCAGGGAGGAGCTCCATATGGGCAAAATAAATCATGCCACTAAAAGATTATAAACCATGGAACAAAGGATGCAGCCCTGAGTCCACTGTGATACAAACCCCTATAGTAGAAGGCAAACCAGAAAATGTGCAAGAAGTGCCAGAATTAGAGACTCGTCTGGCAACCACCATAATCGTCACTCAATCAGGTGAGACTCCTGGGGGGACGCGAGAACTAGCGGGTGAGAGGTGGAAGAGTAATGGGGTGGTCCAGTCCCCGCGTGTCTCCCACAAGAGACTGAGTACACAGGAAGAGAGTAACTCTGCAGAGAAACCCACAGCCTCTACCAACTGCAATCAAGGTTGACACCGTGTCGACAATGTGGGGTAAGATACCACAAGTCCTGTAGATGGCACGGACCCCAAGAAAAACAAGCATCAGCTCGGTGGGGTCCTGCCCCATGCAAGTGCACGACCTGGATCATCGTGAGGAAACAGCCGATATCCCCAAGCTGAGGGACCCTCTACAACTATTGGCCTGCGCTCTTCAAAATACCCATGAGACATAGAGACAAAGGGAGCTCTTGCTCCAGATTAGAGGACACAAAAGAGACGGAGCTGCGGAATGTAACACAGGAAGCTGGAACTTCTTTGCTGCAAAGGATGTTTGGGGACAACTGGCAAGGTCTGAATAATATCCTTAGGTAATACATGATGACATATTAACACAGAAACTATACGATAAGACACAAAATAGTATGATAAATTAGACACTGTCAATGTTAATTTCTTGATTTTGAATTGGACACTGGGTGTGTAAGAGAATTCCCTGGTTTTAGGAAATACACACTGAAGTATTCTGGGACAAAAAGGTATGGTGTCTGGAACCGACTCCAAAATGGCTCAAAGGAAAATGTTACGTGTGTGTATACATACGTGCATATGGCGAGACAGGAGCGGAGGAGGAGGATCAAGCAATGTGGTAAAAAAGTTATCACTGGGGAATGTGACTCAAGGGTATTCAGAAGAATTCTCTGTATTTCTGTCACTTTTCTTTAAATCCAAAGTACATCAAAATAAACACTTTCTAAAAATCAGAGGAAAAAAAAAACACGACTCGAGAAACATTTCCTTCCTCAGCAGAGTGGAAAAAAAGAGAGTCACAGCAGGGGCCTACCACAGCAAACTCATCTCTGTCCAGGTGCCCATCCTTGTCGATGTCACTGAGGTCCCAGACCTGCAAGGGAAAGAGAGCAAGGCTTACTGGGGAAGGAAGCATGCCTGCCAGAACTCAGATTCCGAGTGCTCGGTGCATAGCAGGGTTAAGACAAGGCAATCAAAATGCATTTGAGAACCAGTTGGTGGGTTCTCTGAAAAACCACTAGCTGATGAAGTATCGTCAATTCCAAGATCCTTTTTGTTACATGATGTTCATTTTCTCTCACAAATAATCATAATTATAAACACGTCCACCTTGGTTTTCTCTTTATCGTCTTACCAGGAATTCTTAGAAAAATTGTTTTGGTTTTGGCACCAGGTGTTGCTCCAAACACAAGCCACCCACCACCATTCACGCTGAGCAGGGCTGTGGGCGTGCCTTTACCACTGGTGGATGGTGAGGCAGGCGCCACCAAGTATGCTTGGCCCACTTGGCACCCTGAAGATGAGGCAGGCAGGTACAGGTTCCTATTCTGGGTCAAAGGCCAGGTGCCAGATTTTCTAAAGTACAATCAAAGCACTAGCTTTGTGACCCAAGTCAGCCCCACCCCGAACCAGCAGGCCTGCCTGACTCGGACAACGCTGGGCACGGCGCCAGTGCCCAGAGCTAAGCAGATACCTTAGCGTCCAAACATGGTGCTTCATGTGCTGGTCCCCTCTCAATCATGAGTGACATCAGCCCAGGGACATTTCTCATGGGCAGGTCCTCCTCCCCAGCCCTGCTGCTGTCCTTGACTTGGGCCCCTCCAATACTCCACAGAGGCCAGAGCCTCCAGCTGGCCTCTTTGCCTCTAATCCTTTCTCCAGGGTTACCATGGGGACTGTTCTAGAATACACTCTGAGCCTGTCCCCTAGACTGGCACATGAAGCCCCCTGTGCCCTATGCAGGTCCCTGCACCACAGTCCAGCTTCCAGGGACTCCACCTTGATCTCTAGGGAGCCCAAAGTGTTCACAGTCCCTTCAAGCAGACAGATGACCTTTCAGAGGCATTCTGCATCAGGCTGAGTGCTTTATGCCTCCGGGTTCAATTTAAGAAGCAGAGGTTCATGAAGAGTAACTTTTCCAAAGACATGGAACTTGCTCAGGGAACTGGACTAGAACAAGACTTCCTGGCTCCACGCCTCTCCCTGCCCAGGGCCTCTCCACCTCAGCACCACTGACATTCAGGACTGCATCACTCTCTGTGGTGGGGCTGACCTGGGCCCAAGTGATGTTGAGCAGCGTCCCTGGCCTCCACCCACCTGATGCCAACAACACCTGACCCAGACAGGACAACCAGAACTGTCTCCAGACACTGCTCAACATCCCTGGGGGAGGAAGTGCCCGGTAAGAACACCAGCCCTCCCCAGCATGCCTCTCCTCATGCTGTCATGCGCCTGGTCTTCCCATCCCATCGTCAGCCACCCATCTCTTCTCTCTGGAGGACACGATCCAGAAGTGCCTACTCTAGGAAGCCTTCCCTGCCTGCCCCGTACCCCTCTGCTCTGGTGGGTCAGGCACCTCCCCTCTGCCATTGTCCTCACCGGGCAGAACCACAATATCAGGGAGGCAATGGGCAGTAGGGGGTCACCAGGAAGAGTGAGGGCTCTGGGGACCACCCAGGGCTTCACTCCCCCTCCATGAGACCCTGAGAGGCTTATCGGCCACGCTGAAGTCCCCCTTTTCCTAATCTAGAAAATGGAAGGGATGCCATCCATAACAAGGTTGTTTCAAGTCCTGAAGGACTTCATTCACGCAAACTGCTATAACGGGGCTTGGCGTGCAGTAAGCCCTCGATAAATAAATATTATGATCTTAACTGTTATTTATTTATTTGCTCTCCTGGACTACATCCAATTTTATCCCCATCTTCCCGGTGCTCAGCAAAAGGCCTAGCCCCAAGCAGACTCCAAACTTCCTGAATGACTGAATGGATGGTTGGTGCACGGAAGCGCGGATGAATGAACAGAAGCAGAGAGGCACGGATGCACGAGTGCACTGATGCATCGCGGATAGACCGGTGCACAGACGGATGGGTGCATGAATATGGAAGCACACCTGCATGGATGGATGGGTGCACAGATGGATGGGTGCATGCCTATGAACGCACGTGTGCGAAGATATAGATGGGTGCATGGATGCGGATGCACACACGCATAGGTGGATAGATGCATGGATATGGATGCATGTGTGCGGAGGTATGGATAAGTGCATGGATGTGGATACATGCACGCACAGGTGGATGGGTACATGGATGTGGATGCATGCACAGGTGGATGGGTGCATGGATGTGGAT